TCCACCAAACAAAAAGGTCATGAAGAAGGAAAGAACTGGCATTTGAAACCTAGTCAGGCTTTTTGAAAGGTTAAAAATACTATATTTTCTGTAGCTGCAAATATAGTTCCTCCTTTAACTGTAATACATTATTCCTCTTTTCACAAAATAAGTTGTATTTACTGTAATCTAGGTTCACTTTGAATACTGATCTCCCAACTATCCACAGACGTGGCTCTGGTTTGATGGCTCCAGAGTCTTCCCTGAAACCCATCCCTGACAGGAGCCCCCAAGGATGCCAGCAATGCCCCGGAGGGCTGTCCTGTACACACTGCGTGTCTTCAACACACTTGGGTGATGGCCATCTAGTCTTGGTGATTTATCTGCATCTAGTCTGTTGATTAGGTCTGGCATATCCTGAGCACTTGCCATTTCCTGATCTATTACCTTCATGTGTTTATTGCATGAGAAAGTCTGGGTGTAGAACTATTACTCAGCAAAATCAGAAGCACAGAATTCATTTACACTGTATATTCTTTATTTTATTTTATTTTGTTATTTTTCTATTGATTTTTTAGATAGATTAGAAGGGAGTGAGGGAGAGAGAAAGAGAGAGAGGGAGAAAAACACTGATGTGAGAGAGACACATCGATTGGAGAGAGACACATTGATTGGTTGCCTCCCGCATGACCTCAACCAGGACCAGGGATGAACCTGCAACCCAGGTACGTGCCCTTGACCAGAATTCGAACCTATGACTAGGAATCAAACCCATGACTCTTTGGTTTGTGGTCTGATACTCTAACTGCTGAGCCAAACAGCCAGGGTGCACTGTATATTCTTTTTATCTCTGAGTATATGTTTGGTATGATGAAAGCCAAGTCTTATACAATTCTAATTTCACAGTATTTAAGAGTCTTTCATTATTGTCTTTAAAATCCATTGCAAGGGTTTTTTCCAAATTCATTTTTGGCCATCTCATATTTAGTGTTCATGGGATCTGACTCCCTTCATGGGCTCAATTTCATAATCTGACCCTTCAAGTATTTCTTTTTCATTACACATATCTAAGTAAGCATTCTTTTTTCATTCCTTAATTTTTTCCTATGTGTTTTCAAAGAGCTTGAATACAAGACTTTTTTTTTTTTTTAGGTTCCTATAAAAAAAAATTATATACTCCCCACACTTTCTTATGGGTAATTTGACTTTAGTATTTCTTTCCATTTTTTTCACTTACATGTCTGCGTTTGAATTCTTTTTTAGAGAACTGATTATGCACTTTATGTCTTTCTTTGGAGTCCTCTCTCCCATTAGGATATCGAATGGAATTATCTATCATTCATCAACATGCTCCAATCTGCATTGCGTCTGCTAGGCACTCAGTGAACATTTCCTGAATGAATGTATGATACCAAGAGTTAACAATCATGGGGCATTTACTAGGTGTCATGTTCCATGCTAAGCACTTGACATGCATCATACCATTAACTCTCCAGCGCTAGGCTGTAAACTTCATTGGCAAAGGGTTTGTCTTTGTATTCCTAGCACCTAGAGCAATGCTGGCATATAGGAGGTGCTCACTAAATATTGCTGCATGGATAGATTGAAAATCTGCATGAGTTAGGTGCCATTATTATTCATGCTTTACATATAGGGAAACTGAAGCACAGAGAGGTTTGATCACTTTCTGAAGTCCCATGGTTAGTATATGTGAAGCCAAGACTTGACTCCAAAACCCACCTACTAAATCAGGACTTAGTACCAGTAAACTCAACACCTACCTATATTAGTGCAAACAAAATAATCCTATTCATCTTAATAAATAGTGTGCAGTGTCAAAAGTAAATATTGTGAGCAATGATTTTCCAAGAAAAGATGTGCGAATGATGAGTTTTTAATAAATACAGTACCCCACCCCATCCACAGTTTCGCTTTTCTCAGCCACACTTTGAAACTATTAAACAGAAAATTCCATAAACAAACATTTCATACGTTTTTAATGGTGTGCCATCCTGAGTAGGGTGATGAAATTTCTCACAGTCCTGCTCTGTCCCGCCCAGGACATGAATCATACCTTTGTCCAGCATATCCATACCGTATACATCCGCGCCCATTAGTCACTTAGTAGTTCTCTCGATGATCAGACTGGCTGACTGCCTCATAGTGCAGTACCTGTACTCAAGTAATCCTTATTTTATGTAACAATGGCCCCAAAGCCATTCACATAACTTTTAATATAGTATATTGTTGTAATTGTTCTATTTTATTATTAGTTATTATTGTTAAACTTTTAGTATGCCTAATTTATAAATTAAACTTTATCATAGGCATGTATGTATAGGAAAAAAACATAGCATATATAAGGTTCGGTACTATTCATGGTTTCAGGCATCCACTGGGTGTCTTGGAACATATAATCTACAGATAAAGGGGAAACTACTGTAATCAGATAGATATCTGTAAGATCTTTGTTAGCTATGCAAGTAAAAACATGATTTCTCTTTAATCAATGTCTTCTGCTGCATTTGTACACTAGGTAATGAGGATTCTGTGGGTATTTACTTTTTCCCAGAGCAGTTCTGGGTTTATTTAAGTAATCTGGTTTGTCAATTCTTTTTAAAATAAGAATGGCCCTAATAAAATAATCATTTATTGATGCTTCATTATATTTGTCTATAGAGTTTATGAGTAATCTGCTCATAAAGTGGGAAACTTACATTTCTCTCAAACATCTCTGCCACTGCTAGTCACCTGATTTCCTGAAACATTTCTATTAGTACATCATTCTTTAGGGTTTTGATTACTTGTATATTTAACAACTCATTAATAAAAGTAATATACCCCTTTTAAAAGAGTAGTTCCCTAAAACCATTATTAGCTTTCTCCTTAAATCTTTATTAGCCCACACCTTATTGGGAGCTAAGTAATATTTAGCAGAGAGCAAAGCCTTTTAGAAATGGCACATAATGGTCCCAAAGCTATGGGCTGAATAGTAAAAAGAGGTACAGAAACTGGAGGTAGAAAGACACCAAAGATGTAGCCCAGTATAAAGAAAAGCAAGGAAGGAGAGAGGGAATGTGGGAGGAAGGGAGGAGCAAAGGAGGAAAGGAATGAAAAAACTGGAACTCTGCTATTCACCTTGGAAAAGTCACTTAATCTGTGAGAGCCTCAATTACTCCACCTGTAAAATGGGCGTGATAAAACATGACTTCCTCAAAGACACTTTAATAGCAGGTCTCAATGTGCCATGTAAATTGTACAGCATAATGCAATACATAGTAGAGTGTTTTGCTTGGCATTATTTGCTCATAATCAGCTCATTTATGCATTCTGTGAAATAAACATTCATCTTACAAAGACTGTCAACAGCTTCAAAATATAGACCCATGAATCATAGCTACCTTTTTTGTCTGGAAGTATTTCTGATTTTTTTTTAACACAAGGAACCAATTCACAAATTTAACAGCCTTTGTGTGCCTACAAGCTCAGGAAGCTTACTGTGTGCTCTACAGACTAGAGTTTTGTAAAACCTCTGTTTAAACAAGAAAGCCTCTTTTAAGTCCTGTTTCAGTCTGGTGCCTTTGGTCAAGGTGGAAACTAAAATTGAAAACAGATAGATCTTTTACATTTAAATGGGTTTAACATGAATGTGTATTAAGCCATTTCATGGACGACTGCACAAATATCTTTTGCAAACTTGGTACACGTGAGCACATATACAGTAACCATTAATGTCTTCTAGAGAAATAAGGTGCAGATCCAAAATTGTAAGCAGCTACCTCGAGTCCTCTCACTCGAAAGAAAATGTAATGGCTTTAAGGGAATTGCTCTAATAATATCATGGCATCTGCAATGGCTGGCCAGAGCACAGCAAACCCGAGTGTATGTCACAGTAAGTCAATTTAACAAGAAATAAGCTTCCCCCTGGAGAATCTGAACTCCCTAGCCTCCCACAAAGAAAATTGAATTTTGGAGGTCACACCTTGGGTAGGTTACCAGAGGGAAAAGCTTAACATTCCTGTTGTCATATGCTTAGGGAGGTCAATGTTGTTCTACCAACAAATTGCTATCAAAGATCTGTTCCCCACCCCTCAACAACCCCCCCCCCATCAAAAAATTATAACAAGTCCTTGTAGTCTCCGAGGAAATGAAAAATGATTGTGATATTTAAGATGCCAGGGACCAGACTGGATATAATCATGCTCAAACATCAAGTTTTGAATCGAGCAGTGAGGAGCAGGGTTGATACTCAGGGCGGGGAGAGGGGAGGGGAGGAGAACTGGTGAGAATGTGGAGGGGGTCAGAGCGCGTCAGAAACACCGACAGAGAGCTTAGGCTACAATTGACTATTTAGCCAAATGTAAATCAACCGAACTGCTTTTATCGAAGAGAAAGCAAGTCGCCAAGTCAAGCCCAGGCGAAGCCCTGCCTCTGTGGGTGGACCGCCCTTCGTAGAGTCGCCCGGGTGGGTGGTCGGAGAGCCTGGCGAGTCCCCGCAATGGCTGGAGGCGCCCCAGCTCACAGCACCTTGAACAGAGGCTCGGGTTGGGCGCAGCCTGGCCTCGGCCGCCGCCCCCCCCCCCCAAACATACACCGCCCGCTGGGCAGCAACATGTGGGGCGCTGCCACTCCGCCGCCCGGGAACTCCCTCCGGCTGGAGTTCCTGGTGGACAAGCGCTGAGCCCTGGAAAATGTGCTGAATTACTCTTGGGAAAGATTTCTGCGGCGTTTAACTTGGCAGCTCCTGGCATTACCATCCCACCCCCTGCGTGCCAGCACTGCACACGGGGACACACACGCCCCCCTGGACCTGCCCAGGCTACGCGCGGGGCAAACACCGGAGCGGGATGCAGAGGCGAGGACCCCAGCTCCGCTGGCCCCGCGTGGGGGACTGTCTCGGCACTGGGTAGCTCCAGGGACGAAGCCCACTCCGCGCTTGGCCCCGGCTCCGCATTAGTTCTGGCCGCTGGCACCAACCCCGTGTCCTTTTGTGCTCTCCCGGGAAGCCCGCCTCTACTCACCCGGGCTGCGTGTGGATTCCGGCCGCCAGCGGCAGCCCGCTGCCCCATCCCACGATCACTGCGGCGCCCCCAGAGTGTGCAATGCGGAGCCCCGCCAGCGCGCGGCCGGAGCCGGGGAGTGCGGGGAGGGAGCCGGGGAGGGAGGAGGAAGGAGGGAGAGAGAACACAGCGGGGAGGGGCGGGGGGCGGGGAGGGGCGCGCGCGCCACTCCCACTCGCGCCGGGCACTCGCCGCCTGCGGCCGCTGCCGGCCAGCCCGGTCTCACAGGCCGCGGGGCCAATCAGCGCGTGCGGGGGGAGCCGAGCCCTCCGCGGGGCACGCTCATTGGCCCTGCGCGCACGACCCAACTCCGGGAGTGTCCGCCCGAGCGCCAAGTCTGCAAACTCCCGCCCGCAGGAGTGCGGGCCGGGCACCCGTGGAGCGGCCGGCTCCGCGCTCGGGCTGGCAGCGTGAGTGAGCCAAGTCCGGCGGGCGGAATCCGGAGGCCACCGAGAGGACTTGAGACCTGCCGGCGAATCCCGTTCCCAGCGAGCATTCAGAACGAACAGTGTTTGCTCAGGTTGCTGCGACTCCTTCCTGAGAGCGACCCCTGCGCCGCTGGCCTCGCTCAGGCTGGCAGCTGCGTGATGGGAAGCCTGGCGGTGGGAATCGGCCCCAGCCAGACCTGACTCCCCGCCACCCGCGGCCCGTTGCACTTAAGAAACGGGGCTGAAACGCGAGTCGAGCTCCGCACCCAGATCAGACCTAGACCACTGGACGTCCGCAGTAGAGGACTTAGGCTGCCCCGCGAACAATGAAGGGGAAACATCTGCGAGGCAGGTCTTCGTGAGGGCGTGGGAATCCCGTTGTCGGTTTTGGTGGGCATAATTCTTCCACCCTCTGTCATACCCTCTCCCCCAGTAAAGGTCTTCTCCTCCTCCCAGCCTCTCACGAGGTATTGATTTTTCTCATGTTGTAAATCATGTTCGACTCTCCTGGACTTTTCAACCCAGAGCCTGGAGCGGAAGAGAGCACGGCCCTAACCCCTCCACTCTGTGCACCGCAGAGGGCTGGCTGGGGAGGGGTGACTAGGGAAGGTTCCCGGGAAGGTCTGGAGGAAGGAATCCGTGGGTCCACCTGGGAGCCAGGAGTTGGGGACCGCCCATCCCCGCGAGGACAGCCCGCCGCAGGGGTTACGTTTATCCACCTTGGAGGCCCCTTACTCTCCTCCTCGGACTTTTTATTGTTCGAGCTTCCCTCTGGGCAGGCCTCCTCTGAAAGTTCCTGTCTCCGCTTTTCCCCACAATCCACCCCCTCAACATAAAAAAAAAAAAAAAAAAAAAAAAAAAAAAAAAAATTTTAATCTCCCTTTCCATTGCTTCTGTTTGGAAGAGCCTCATATAACATAATTTTGGTCAAGAGCTCTGGATCTCAGAAAGCTTTTCTCTTACTTAGTTTATGTGCACAGGTTTACACAAGCTCAGGGTTCAAGTGGGAAAAATAATCAGTAGACCTTTGGACACGCGAGGTGATCACAGCGGGGCTAAATGAGTTGAGCATGAATTAATCAAACTCAACCTGGAACTCGCTCTGTGGCGCTGCGAGCCAGACTGGTGCTGAAGAGGGCATGTCCCGGGATCATCACTAGCACTTATTTAGCTTCCAGGGAAGAAATTCTTTCTGAATTCCTGTCCGTGTACCTGGTTAACTTGACTTCTTTTTTTTTTTTTAATTGGTTCTGCTCATAGTTTAGTAAAAACTTAATATTTGGGTTCAAAATGAAGTTCAATATATCACTATGGTTTATGAAACTCAGTTCCTAATGGACATAGAATATTAGGATCTCATTTTTATTTTTTGTATTTTTTCATCCTCACTCGAGGACATTTTTTCATTTTTTGGTTCAGATAGAGTGGGAGGGAGAGACAGAGAGAGAGAGAGAGAGAGAGAGAGAAACATCAACGTGAAAGGGACACATCGAGTGGCTGCCACCCACACGACCCAGCCAGGGCCGGGGACAAACTGCAACCAAGGTACATGCCCTTTGCAGGAACTGAACCCGGGTCTCTCTGGACCAAAGGTGGACACTCTGACCGCTGAGCTAAACTGGCCAGGGCTAGGAACTCATTGAAAAAAATTTTTTGTTGTTAATCCTCACCTGAGGACATTTTTGCATTTACCTTCAGATAGAGTGGGAAGGAGAGAGGGGGGCAGAGAGAGAAACATCGACTGGTTGCCACCCACACAACCCCAACTGGGGCCAGGAACAAAGTGCAACCTAGATACATGACCTTAGCGGGAACCGAACCCCGGACTCTGGTCCGCTGGCTAACGCTCTAACCGCTAAGCCAAACCAGCCAGGGCAGAAAAAAATGTATATTTTTTTTAATTATAGAAAGATATGCACTCAAAATGTCAACAGGGGTTATCTCTGTGTGGCAAGATAATAGAAGATTTGTTGTGTTTTCTTCATTATCCTTTATGATATTTTCTAAAGAACATGTAACACTTATTATTCAGGAAAATTTTAAAAAATATGTTCACTCTAAACATACAGTGCCCTTCAGGCATCCATCAGAAGAGCTAAAATATGAAAGCCCCCTTCTAATTTACCCTTGCATCTTATTTATCACCATGTCCCTTGAATTCTGTCTCCTAGCATAGCTTTCAGATTCCTCCCTTCTCAACACCTGCGCTGTCACTGCCTCAATGTCACCATTTCTTACCCAGGTCTCAGCAACAGCCTTGACTGTTCTACTTGTCTAGTCAGCCACAATGCGGTCATATCTCCTTAGGAATGACAAAGGTGATTATGTTACTTAAAAGCTTAAAAGCTTGCTGTCCCCCCAACTCCATTGCTATGAAGTTTAAACCTGGTACCTGGTTGGCAAGGCCTTTCTTGCCAGCCTGACCTCAGCCTTCCGTGTTGGCCTCATCTCCTGCCTCACACTCCCCTATGCGGGATGATCCAGCCCCGCTGCAGCTTTTCATCCTTTGCATGTGTATCATGTGACTTCACATGTCCAAGGCTAAGACTGTGGGGTACTGAGATGCCACCCTTCTCCTCCTCACCAGCCCCACCCCCACCGGCAATTCCTACCTCTGCCTAAGACTCACTTAAAATAACACCTTAAGCCCTGGCTGGTTTGGCTCAGCGATTAGAGCGTCAGCCTGAAGTCCAGAGACACCCCCGTTTGGTTCCCGCTAAGGGCACGTACCTCGGTTGCAGTTAGTCCCCGGCCCTGGTTGGGTTGTGTGGGTGGCAGCCACTCGATGTGTCCCTTTCACGTCGATGTTTCTTCCTGTCTCTCCCTCCCACTCTATCTGAACAAAAAATGGAAAAATGTCCTCAGGTGAGGATAAAAATAATATATATATATCACCTTAAATTATCTAATTTCTTTTTTTATGAAGTCTTCAAAACTGAAGGGCCAGAATTAGCAACGCCTCCTCTCTGTACTCCAATTGCAAGCACTTTATTTATTTAACGACTATTAACCTAACTCCTATTATGTGCCAACCCCAATGAAGAAAACATATATCATATTTATACTCCTAGAGCACACCATGGGAGAGACAAATATTAAATCAACTCACACAAAGAAATAATTGTAAACTGAGATAAGTGTGATGAAACCACTACATATGCGAAAAGCATGGTTTACTTTGAACATATGCCAACCACAGTTCTTACCCATATTATGTTATAATCTGTTGATTTACTTGTCCAAAGTTCTGTATTCCATTATATTTATCTGTGTACCCCCATCTAGAACACAGTGCCTGGCTCATGGTAGGTGCTCAATCAAATTTTTAAAATAAATACTTATGTGAGTAACTGAATGGGCACTTGAAATGCTCATGAAGCATTTTAATTCATGTATTGACATGCTACTGTTGTACAAAATCTAAAACACTTTGGTTCTATGTTTTATTTTTTTATATGTTTCTATTGATTTTTTAGACAGAAACATCGAAGTAAGAGAGAAACATCAATCAGCTTCTTCCTGCTCGCCCCCTATTGGAGATAAAGCCCCCAACCCTGGCATGTGCCCTGACCTGGGACTGAATCTGGACCTCTCAGTCCATGCGAGGACGTTCAACCCACTGAGCCACACCAGCTGGTCTAGTCCTATGTTTTAAAAATTAATATCATTAGATCCTTATCATAACACTAATTTGGTTTTTCTAGCATAAATTATCTAATTTCTTGTTTGATGTCACATTTACAAATATATAGCTAATGTACTGTTTGTAGATAATCTATTGTTGCTAGGAGAAATTTATTCTTTTTTAAACAATCTGATTTTTAACATGTAAAATTCTAAGACACAAAGCACAATCCATAAAGAATATATATAAAATGGACTTGATCAAAACTAAACATGTTTGCTCTGCAAACAACACTGTTGAGCGAATGAAAAGAAAAACAGACTGGAAGAAAATATTTGCAGATCATATATCTGACACAAGACTTGTAGTCAATATATATAAAGAACTCTCCAAACTTAACAGTAAGAGAACAAATAACCAAAATTTTTCAATGAGCAAAAGATTTGAACATGTTACCAAAAAGGATATACAGATGACAGATAGTCCATGAAAAAAAAAATGCTCATTATCATTAGTAAGTAATGAAATGCTAATTAAACCACAATGAGATACTACTATACACTTAATAGAATGGCTAAAGAAAAAATATATAATACCAAATGCTGGTGAAGGCGAAGAGCAACTGGAACTCTCAGACATTGCTGGTGGGAATGCAAAGTGGCACAACCACTCTAAAAATAATTTCACAGCTTCTATAAAGTTCAATATACACTTAACCATATGACCCAATATTCCCACTCCTAGATATCTACCCAAGTGAAATCAATGGCCTCTATTCACTCAAAGAACTGTTAACAAATATTTATAGCAACTTCAGAGATAAAATCTTAAAACAACCCAAAAATCTCTCCACTGGGGAATAAATAAACTGAGTACATCTACAGAATGGAATGATATGCAAAGATACAAGGAATGAACTGTTGATACAAACATTATGTAACACCATGCATTATG